GTGTGTGTGTGTGTGTGTGTGTGTGTGTGTGTGTGTGTGGTGGTGGTGGTGGTTTAGGGGATTGTGTACACATGGGCCCAGCAGTTCTGCTGGATTCAATAGAGGTGCTGTCAGATGGCCAACAGGAAACACAGACTATTCAACGTCAGTAGGCAAGTCTTTCACTAGGACATGAGAAAAGTGTCAGTCTCTGCATATAACGCACAACTAAACATATAGTGCGACTGTTATGTAGGTGTTTGGGGTAAGATAACATCTGCTGCGGTGCAGTTCACTTCCTCTCAGTTTATTTGGCAGTGAGAAGCCAGAAAATTTACTTTTATATTTTATATCCCAAAGACAAAAACCAATACTGTCTGTCTGCTGATAGCATTTGGTTTCATGGCTTATTTATGGCAAGGGCTTTAGTTCTCAAAAAGGAAAGAAAATCAGCTGATCAGGTGACTCTGATGACCAAAAACAGCATCTGTCATCGCTGATGCTGTCTGTTTCTATATGTTCCCTTCTTTCCACTTTACATTTCCTCCATCCTGACAGTTAATGATGTGTACAGGCGTAGCAAACGCTCATTTGCACTTTGAAAAAACATAAAATATTAAAGGTATGTTTACGATAAAAGGGAAGGCAAATATTCTCTCCCTCAGAACCGCATTATTAATTCATACTGTTAAAACGACTTTCCACGAATTAATGGAGACAATGCATGGACTCACGATTGCTTTTGGAAATAAAAGGGGCATCAGGCTGTCAAATGATGCATTATAGTGGTACTGAGTGGGGCTTATCTATAGAAAGCATGCTGTTAGCTTTAAAAGTACCCCGCCCTCATAAGTCTTACACAGACACCACATTGGAACCTCAAAGGCAGTTAGACACTAATCACTTTTCGCTTGTGGCCTACCACAGGATTACAACTGAAAACGCAAAGTAAAGTGCATTTAATTCAAGGAGTCTGCATCCAAGGTGAGACTATGCCTCCAAATCTTCTCCACAAAATGCAAATAACCATCGAACAATGTGTCACCTTCAGTGAAATTCATCAGCTTTTCTAGGCAGATTAGTCCTGCAAAAAGTCACAAAATAAAAAACTCCAAAGTTTGACGGCATGAATCATCGTCCACATCTGCATAGCAAAGGAGTGAATCAACACGGCCACAGCTTCTTCCTTGGAACAGAACACTTTTCTCAACAAAGTAACAAATTCAGTAAACAACAAAACGAGGAAGCACAGCTGACTACAACTCTGAGGAATGTGGAACAGCTGAAGACGTGCAGCTCAAACACTGTCATCGAAATGTAAATGATAATGAATAACAATCACACTGTCAGCCGCCAAACAGTTCAATTACAACACTGATGATTCACTAATATTAAAGGAAAACTCCGAAACCACAGTGAAAACCAAAGATACGAATTACCAATAATGCAAAGTCTGTGTATTTAGTGTTGCAATACATGTTTCATTTCCAGACACGAAAAAAATCAGATTGAAAGGAAATAATAAACTAAAACTTTGATGCTGTGATTCTGTATTTAGATATAAGTAAACATACACCATTTAATTCACATCAGTTCATTTTCACCATCAGACTTTTGTACCTGAAACACAGACACCATGCCTTTGGTGTGACTCTGCAGTCACTGCTGCCGGCTGTGTTTCCTTCATTACCTCCAATAAAAGGTGACAGGTGGAGGACATTGCTGGTAAATGACGGCTCTGCTTTGTAATCTGTGTTTAATAGCTGGTGCATGACTCTGTGCAGTCTGTCGTTTTTCGTTTGGATTCACTTTTCGAGAAAAAGACCTCGGCAGTGATGAAAGGTGATCTGTGACCTCCATCACTGTGAGGTCAATCACAAATCATATAAAAATAAAAAAAAATCAATGACATTTTCCCACAAACATAAATATGAAAGCTGCTCTTAATGTCCTGAACAAATATACTGGAACTGCGCTATAATATATATGAGGCTTTGAATTAATGTCACAGCTTATTTATCAGTGTAGGAAGCCGAGACAACGCAGACTAGAGTACAGTTATTAATTAACATTAAATTTAAAGGTACAAGCACAGCACAGGGTGGGATCAGTAAATAGGCTTTATAGATATTATTAGTTTAATTACACATCCTTACTTACCATAGCCAATAACACAAAAGGCCAACAAAGATGTAAAAATTGGGTATTAGAGAGAAAACTCACCAGCTGCAAGACATACTGGGAGCAGTAACCTGAAGACCAACCCGCACACTACTTCAGAGGCCATGGCTCGGGGCAGGCCGTGTTGAATCCAGGTAAAAGAAGCCGAGAACTGTCTCTCTAAGGGTTCTCTTGCATCCCAAACTCCTGCGCTCTGTCAAATCCCAGCTGGCTGCTCCAGACGGCCACATCGGCTCTCCCCTGGTGACACCTGGACTCTGGTTATTCCACAGTGAAACACTGCGCATTCACCAAGGTTCGCCTCATCAGCTCCGTCGCCAGAAAATAGTATCACCATGATAGTTTAGTGGCTCAAATGCTGTAAAGTCATGTTGACGCTGCACAAGCTGAGCAGCGGACTCAGGTGCGCAAACAGCTGCGCTGGCACGGCGCGTAAAAAAGCCGGACAAAGGAGCCAACAAGTCCTCAAGTCCAATTAAACCCCTTTTAATGCTAAACCACTTTAATCCTTAACGGATTACATAGTCTGTGTATACTTCTTAACAGAGGAGGAATGAAAGAAGACCAAAGTATAACCGGATAACGCTACCCTTCTTCCTTAGCCCCCGTGGTGAAATTTGACTTTCTGACTTCTGGTCCGGATTGTGTTCGCCAACAGGAGGCTACGGGACAAGCCTGAGATTGGCGTCGTGTTCAGCCAATCAGAAGTGCGCCATTGGTAGCTGATCCAGCCCCCTGCGATAATTGGAAGCAAGAGGTGGGACGCGGAGATGGATGAAAATACCACAAGAATGAAACGATAACGTGAAACACACGCAGCCTTTTATTAATTCTATAATTTAATTATATTAGTGCATATTTTGCTATTTAATCACAATTTTTAAAGTAATAAACACCAGATAACCACGGCCACGTCGAGGAAGATTTTATGAATTTCAGGGGGGAGACTTTTCATTATGACCTGATCTCTTCAGGTCCAACTGTTTATCGGAGAGAAACAGCGACGCCTACCGGTGCAGTATAACCACTCCAGTCTAATCCAGTTAACCACAAAAACAGGCCTGCGCTGTTTGTGCTTGCAGGCAGGAAAATTAATTTTACCGAAATGTTTTCAGTTCTTGGACAAATTCTAAACAATGTAAGAAAACATCTTCTCTAGTAACACGTAATTTAATTGCTGAGCGGGTAAACAAACATGATTTAAAGCTCAGTTTGAAGCCTCAGGATGCTTTTTTGAATTTCCAAATATTCAAACAAAAGGTTGGAAGCATATTTGCTGTTTAAATAGGATTTTGTGCAGAGGCAGCTGCAGACGTCACCCTGTCAGATGGGTGACCCCTGTTCTTCACCTAAACTCATCATCTTAAAATACATTTTATGGCACAATTTTTAAAGATTAAACTAAAAATTTTAAACAAAGGCCTAATAATTTGAGGAAATTTATTTTTAATTTACTTTTGAAATACAAAGACCCGTGAAGTGAAGTTAAAATGGCACATAGACTGGAAACTAAATCCAAGAATTTGCTTTTTGTGTGTCATTTGTACAGAAACTAAAAAGTGTGAGTGAGTGTAGGAAGATGCACAAAATACACTTCTTCCATTAAAGTTTCTGTTTGTATACAGAATACATTTGCGAGAGGTGTTAACAGATGTTTTAACCCAGAAAAGAGCCAAGCTACAGTGTCTGTTTAGTCTCCAGTATTTAAGTTCTATCTTAATTTATAACACAGAGGCAAAAGCGTGGCGTCATCTAATCAAAAGAAAGCGTGCAACTGAGAATATTTTCTAATTACACAAGTGACTAATGAAAAAAAAAAGAAAAAGTGTCCCACCAAGGATCCTCCACAAGTGATGTTGTTGTGACAGCATTCATTGCTGGGACACTCACAAAGGCCGTAAAGGCATTTTACTAGTCTGGTTTTGGGAAAAGTGTGAAAAGTTGATCTATATGGATGTGATGTAGAGTTTGAGTTCTGGTGAGTTCAACTGAAAACCACATGGATGCTGCTTCTGATTAAAACGATGGTAAAGTGAATGGTGTGCATTGATGTGACACTGAATTGACAGTTCGCAGGAGAAAGAAAAGAAGCATTTTTAAAAGTTTGCAGGTGACGGGATGCCATTTCTAACTTCTCAGTCAGCTGAAAGAGCCCGAAAAGAAACAGAAAGCTGTTTTCCTGACTGAACTTTCATCCATTGGGTTGATATCCGCTAACTGTTAGTGCTGTCAAATCAGTCAGTGACCCATGGTGTAGATGTGGGCACTGTCATCATGGAGGACTCCTATCCAGGCTGAAATGTTTCATCAGCCCCCTAAATGTTCTCTGCCAGCTCACAAAACAAGTTTTTTTGGTTTAATGTGTTTTTAATGGAGATACCTGCATTCATCATGATTCTCCATTCATTTATTCAGGTTTAAGTCATTAATGAGTCATCAAATCTCCATGGATGGCAAAATGTCATTAGGAAAGCTGCCTGGAGCTTCTCCAGCACTCTGAGCATGATGCACTGAAAGCTGGTGTTGACTCATTTGCTTGAACATAATTTTCTGAGTCAGATGTTTAATGTTAGAGGACACTGTAACTGTGGAACAAATATACTCAAAAGACCAATTAGAACTGGTTTGATAGACCTGGACACTGTGAAAAGCACTAATGTGGACTAAAAATAACAATAATTTAAAAAAAAAAAACATGTAGGAAACTGTTTCTTGTATTGGTTTTTCCTTCATTTGAAAGATATCAAAATTCATTTATGGTTACTTATCACCACAGTAAAGCAAAGGCCTTTAAGGCAAAGAGTGCTGACATAATGTTTACCTGTGTGTTAAACAGGGAAGAGCATCCAAGTTTAAACTCTGAAGTGCATTAACTTAAGAATAAAACCAATCAATAAAGCATGCTTTGATATGTTTAACAACTTTATTGACAAGGAAATGATCAACGATGCTGTTCCCCCTGAAGTGCATTATACAGAATGAGAGCAAGGTATGATGGGAGTCAATGCTGAGCCAACTGACCCTTTACCTGGAAAAGGCAGAGCAATTAAAGAAGCAAAGTTTCTGCTTATGATGTGATGAATCGTCGTTTGGCCTAATAACCAAAATGGATTTGGTTTATGAAAATAAGAAAAACAAACAGCCGAGCACTGCTGAGGAAAAAGCTGCTCGCTGCCAACCTCTGCCCAGAAGCTCCACTTTTCACTGGAGATCCAGAGCGGCTGGAAGGTCTGCAGTCAGAGTGACCCACGATGCCCCTAAGCTGCAGCCAGCAACAATCAATAACCAACCTCAAAACATGTCAGCGAGCCCTTGATTTGTTTCTGCCGTTTGAAGTCTGGACCTGCTGATCTAATCCCTCAGATGGATGCGAATCTTAAGTAACATTTGTCTTTGATCCATTATTTACCGGATTCTTGAGAGGGACTTATTGATAAACTCTTGGTTAAAATGGACTCAACAGTTTTACGCTGTGGCGCTCTGGGTCAAGTTGTTCTTGAGTCACTCACCTCAATTTTTAGGTCAAGATTGTTTCAAGAGCAACAGGGATAATTTTTGTTTATCAGGAGCCTGGAGCTCATGAGACCTCTAAATGGGCACCGTTTAGCTTAAAGACAGTGAAAGTGAGTCTCAAATCCAGAATATTTTTTAGTCTAGACTAAAAACTAAACACTTATGGCAGTTCTAGCAGTCCTGCAAGACTGCACTTTAGCACAGTGATGCTTTAAATATATTGTCATCTTAGTTTTGCTCGGAGCCAATTTGCACTTTTTTGTGCAAAATGACTTCATCTCTGCATCACATCGTTCGCCCTCTTCATGGGACATAAAATGTCACAACATGGCAAAACACTGACATATGAGGATTCAGAAATAACAAACATATAAACATAAAAATGTCAAGTAGAGTCAAATGTTATGGCTATAGCATATTTAAAGCAACCTCAGCTGACCAAAGTGTTTTACAGGTGTAACAAAATATACATTATATGCAACTCTCACTAAATCAACATCGAATGTACACTAAAAATTCTCAAATAAACCAAAGTAAATAAGACTGTTTCCAAATTAAAGTTCAGGAATACAATGAAAGCAAGTCAGAATAAGTTAAAAAAAATGTAAATATGGATTATTTTCATATCAGAGACATGTTAATGTAAGGTTTTATTTGCTTTATTTATTTAGACAAGCTGAGCCAAGACAGTGACTGAGAAGGCAGATTTTAAAAAGCTAAAACTTGAGCTTTACTCACAAAATGTGGGTTCAAGGTTACAAAAACCAAGAAGATAAACAAAGCACAGAAAGAAGCCCAAGGCTGAAAAATACAAGAAAAAAAGTAAAAGTAAAACAAAGAAGCATGAATGACAATGAGGACAGTGAAGCCAGCATTTCTTCATCTAGCTTATCTGTCCTAAACTGGCTGACCTCAACATTAAAACAGTCTTTTACAATTTTGTCCATATTATTTCAGTTTAGCTCATGAGAAGCAGCCCTCCTCTGGTCTGAACCTGATGTCAGGGTAAGATACTGAAACATTCCTGTTTTTGTATCGCTGCACTGATTTTTAGTTGTCTGACAGAGTTCCTCAGATAACAGCGAGATTTATACATGAGTCTGACAAAAAAAAGGGGAAAAAAGTATTGTACAGCCCTCTGGTCAAATTTAGATCTCAACACTGAGTATTTGAGCTCCTGGTATTTGAAACTGAAGAATTTATATTTATGCTTTTCCTCCCGCATTCCTCTATATTTGTACATGTCCAGGAGATGATCTACTTCAAGGAATAAAATAGAGAAGATAGTCGATTTCAAAATGTTGCTCTAAAACAGTGCTGACTGGTGGGACGTGGGGCTACAACAGGTGGGAAACATAGGGAGTGAAAGATTTTTGTAGTTAAATTAAAGATGAGATTCTTGATGACATTTTCACCTCTATTTAAATAAACCTTGAAATTACAATGATTAAAATTAAAGTTAAGTAAAAAAAAATATATATTTTTTTTTAAATTCTGAAGTAGGTTAAGCCAGAAAAAGGAGAATATGCAGATTTCAGTTTGCAGATTTTAACAGTTTCACAACCAAAAACGGTCCTTTCAGGTCAGCCTTTCAGAAAAATGCTTGCATGAGCATAGAATTAGATGGACAAATATCGATTATCAGAAGTAAAATCTAAGAACACAGAAAGACACCGCACTGTTCTAAATCCTGAATATCTTTGGATTTTATTGCCAGTCTGCAGCAGCATTTGCCAAGACGAAAACACAAGTGAAAATGAAATTAGGGCCCAGATTGCTTCAGTATTGATCCACCAGTGAAATTCAAACTGTGAGCATGTTCAATATTTACATGGATGCACTTTCCATGCACTTTAAAGGTGCCCCAGCTTAAGTGGGCTTTTCACTGTCTTTCTGTGGTGGCTGAGGGCAGATAGTCTCTTCGGGAATTAAGACTCATATGAAAACCAGATAAGTCCAGTTTGGATTCTGTCCATATTTTAATGCTGTCAGTTAATTTCCTGATGATTTGACAATCATTGTAATCAGGCTGCTAAATTTAAAGATGAAAAATGTGTTTAATGCATGTGATTTTCTTTGTCTGTGGTTATGTAATAAAATCAAGTTTACAGCCATCCTGAAAGTAAAAGCAAACTATAACTCATTCT